TGCCTGTGTCTGGCTTCGTGGCACACATGCACGTGTGTGAGTGTGTGTGAGTATGTGTGTGTGTATTATTTTTGTCCGTGCCTGCCTTGTTGATGGGCTGCCACCCCGGCTTGTCCCGGAAGGCTGCCAGCTCCGTCGGATTGGGGATTAACCCCGGGATAATGGCCTCGATGCCCAGTTGAGTGGAAGCAAAGCTGTTTAAAAAATATTGGCTGCCTGAGTCACTCTCCCCTCTCTTCCTGTCTTTCCAGCCTTGCCATCTCTCTCTCTTTTTTTTCAATCTGTTTTCCACCTTTGTATGTTTTATTTCCCCCTTTTTCCCTCTTTCACTTTGCTCCAGCTTATCCCGTGCTCACAGCGACCTTTCATGGGCCTTACAGTCGCATGTTTTGTTTTACACCCGTAACATTTATCACACATTCAGGATTAAAGAAAATAAAAGCAGTAAACTTTCTAAGTTTAATACAACTTTCTTATTTTCTTTAAGTAGCAGAACTTGAAGATCTTACTCTGGGAGGTACAGTAATGTCTGTGCTCCATCATACTGTCATGTTTTTCGAAGAACAGTGCCGCCATTGTCCAGCCAAGTATCATTTTAATTCTACTTATGCATGCTGTCATCTTCCCCCCAGTATTTTTCTCTCATTATATGGGAAAATGTCTTGCAAGCAAACTAATTCTATCTCCCCGTACCTTTTTCATTTTTCATAGATATTAGCATTTAACGTCGGAGATTCTCTTAATCTTTTTCTTGAGGCTAACATCGTTTATTTCACTATGTTTCCAAAGCTTTACATAATACATAATTCATTTAGTGCAGACCCGCCAACCTGTTTGCCTTTCCCACAGAAACTGCCTGCTATGATGTGGTGTTATGGTACAAGTCGCTACTAGAAACATGTTGCTTCTTTAGTTTAACTGATGAAATGTTGTAGCAGAAGCATGAGGCTGGGGTGGTTGACAACATAAATGCCAACTCTTGGCTGCCGAATCCTGACTTGATATCCCCCCCCCCCCCTCCTTCCTCTTCACATTCATTCACTTCTTCAATCTCCGGCCAGTTTTTACTGCGTCCTACCTGCTGATTTTAAACGACAGAGCCGAGATAAAAGTAGAGATGTGAAAAGGAGGGAATTCACCGCTGGTAGACGATCCTTTTAAAGCAGAGATGATGTGAAGCGATAATGTGTCGGTATACAGAAAGATCGGGGATTTATTGCAGCACCATGCTTAGACGAGTCAAACAGTACTATACAGACCAGTCAACATGTACCCTAAAATGTATATTTTGGTTTGTTTTTTCCCCCCACACTGTTAAAACCTCAATTAAATGAGTTTTGGCCACTCGGTCCGCCAAACAATCTGTAAATATAGCATTCACAGATATCATTATATATACTTATTAACACGTCCAGCAGATATGGCGCACCATTAGCATTCATTTGGAGTCATGTTTTTGGCCACCTGATGAATGCAAGTCCAGCATTCACTCTTCTTTTAGTCTCTACCAACGCTTCAGAAAAATATCTGGCTCTTTATCAGTTAAATGCTCTTGAAACTAGAAACTAGAGATTGAGACCATAAACTCATGTTCACAATGTTTACTGAGGTAATAAATCAAGAGAGAAGTAGAGTCATTTTCTCATAGACTTCTATACAACCAGAGGAGTCGCCCCCTGGTGGACAGTAGAGAGAATGCAGCTTTAAGACACTTGAAGCTTTCGCTTTTCTTTTCAGAACCGGAGGATGCCACCTGGTTGTGGTCCATAAAAACAAAAATGTGCTGAAATAAGCAAAAACATCAGTAGATCTGAGACAGACGACAGGTCATACGTATCTGTTGTCTCTTACTAGAGCTACCACTTTCACAATACTCATATATATAGGCACTTATAATATAAAGATGGATTAGTGCAGAACTGCAAAGACAAAATAATAAATCATTTGCAAACAAATACACATATGCTTTGGTATTTTTTGTATTAGCAGAACCAAATTCAGTCTGCAAGTCAAACGCTTCTTTTTAGATGTTGTCAGTTGTTTTATTCTCTTTATTTATTAATGGGATTTATTTGATTATTTCACCTCCATCACAAGGGGCTCTGTGAGCTCCAGTTTGACATGCTCGTCCAACCAAAGTCGTTTTATCAAATAATGAGCAGAACTGTAACATTCGTTGAGCAGAGGGCCACAATTTGAATGTAGAGTGATTAGCTTAGGGTGGCAATTTTGCAAGCGGCACGCCGGCCACTAAATTATAATTTGTCCTGACCAACTGGAAATCCCTTAATTTAAAATAAATATAACCGAGTGTGTGTGTGTGTGTGTGTGTGTGTGAAACCGCTTGCTAACATCCATGAAGGAACCTGCAGCCAGTTTAAACCTTGTGCCTGCAAGAATGTTAATGAGGAGTGAGTCAAAGAGAAAGTGCTTCAAGTGAGTTTCATTTGCCAAATGATGTGTCATCATATATTCCGCCCGTGTGAAGAGATGTCTCACGTGTTGTGGCATCCTCGTCTGGTGTGATGTACCAATACCTCATGAAATGCATGAGCCCGCACGCGAAAGCCGTCTACTTTAACCCCCCCCCCCCCCCCCCCCCCCCCCCCCCCCCCTCCTTCCCCCCCCCCCCCCCCCCCTGCACAAACAAAGTCCCGTTCTGCCTCTGATCCAGAAGGACCTTGCGCCCCATCTCCCTTACGGTCCTGCGCGGTCAAGGAAAGGCGGAGAAGTGGCTCGGAGGGACAAGCCGCATTAACAGAAAACATCAAGGAGGAGGAAGCCCCATTCTCTCACTCCATCACCCGTCTCATCCCTTTAGTCGTCTGGCTGGGACCTAAAGTGACTTTTGCTTTGATGTGACCAGGACAAACCGGGTGCGACGCCATGACGGCTCTGCTAAGTGTGTGAACGTGTGTATTAGGGGGTGTGTGTGTGTGTGTGTTACGAGGGGAACGGGGCTCTTAATCGTGTGTGTGTTTTTGTTTGAGCGAAGGAGGGGGGGGGGGGGGGGGTTAAGGGGGACCGTCACTTTTGATTTGGCCTCAGAAGGGTGACAGGGACTTGGAGCTCTGGTGGCATGCTCTACTGAAACAATCATCTCTGACCACAAATAAGCGCTCACAGACTGTCAGCCTGCCACCTGATGACTTTTTCCTTGCTTTTTTTTTTATGGTGAAATTTCACTTCTTTTTCTTTCTGCTCCGTGACATCCTGCAAGCAAGCTTTAGTTTGTGTAGCCTTGGTGAGACTGCTGCAGAGATGCTTTGGATGAGACACAGACATCTCTGCCTCTCTCTCTCTCTACTTTTTTTGTTTGACAAGTTCATTTTATCTTACTTTCCCATCTTGTGTCAAGTGTATATTTGGAGAAAAAAAAGTGGTATAAATCAAAGCTGTACTCGCATGGTGTCGGGAGACAGTTTTGGTCCTGTCGATGGTCTAAGCTCTAGGGGTAAGATGGAGGAGCTCTCTGAAGAAATGAAAAGCCAGAATCAGAATCAGCTTTATTGACATGTATGCACACAAGACATTTGACTCCATGTTTTGCTGTACTTACACAGAAATAGAGAATAGCTGCTATAGGGATAGCATGTTGGCTTCCAACGGAATTAAAAATGGGGAGAAAGAATAGAAATCTCTTGCAATGTGTTTGTTTCTTTGGTTGATATAGCCCATGTGAAAACGTGTAGAAGGATATGGTTATGTATGTGTATGTGTATATACACATGGGTACATACTGTATGGAGAGAAGTATTGACATGCAGAATGATATATTTGAGCAGTAGCTTCGGGCTGAACAACGCCTCTTAGCTGTGATATAACTACAACATATCCCAGACCGAAGTCAGCTATTTCTTTTATAAAAAACGACCGTCTATGTTTTAAAAAAAAGGAATAAGATGTGATGAAATATTTGGTGGATATTTGCTTATTTATCTCAATAAAAGGGATTTAAAAAGGAAAAGCCAGGATGAATACTGGAGGTTTGAGCAGTAGCCGGGATTGGCTCCTCTGGAAAAGGGGTCTTTGACTGGAGGGAATTGGACATGCTGAAATTAAACAAGCCAATTAGGCAAGCAGAGAGTTTAGAGGTCAAAGCGCACTCCATTAAAGTCCCTCTTCTCTGCCTAACTACGGACTCAGTATGTCTCCGAGTCTGTTGAAGCAATAAATCTGATTAGACCTCTCCCTCTCTCTCTCCGTCCTCCGCTGTCGTTTCACCCTCCACTGATCATTGTTTTTGTTAAATTTGAGGCACCATTTAACTTGTCTTTGGGTTGCAATCGTAGCCGGCAACCTCGCCGAACATTTTCAATACTCCCTTTGCAACATGGCCCCCCCCCCCTCCTCCTCCCTGTATCAGAGTGCAGCACCGCCCTGACATCATCATTAGCTCTTTGGACACGCATTAACACACAGAATGAGAAGTTGCACTAATGAACTTTAATCCCAGTTAACAGACTCTGTATCCACTGGGTTGTTTGAAATTTGTGTTTTACTGCATAAAAGGCTTGTTTCACCCAAAATACAAAAAAATATAGATATTCACACCCTCACCTCTGATGCTATCGAGCTAGTTTTGGTTTTATTTGTCCAGATGAGAGATTTATATGAGGGGAATGGAACTGTTTTTTCTCTCTATACAATGAGTGCACTGTTTTCGGAAAGAGATGCTGCTGTTTGTCAATGAAGTGAGCACCACCAATTAAATTCCCTTCACTTACCTTGTATGGGAGTGGAGGCGGAAATCTTGTTTGTCGTGTTTCAAATGCGTTTTCGTATCTGAAATTTGAGTGAATCGACTCTTTATTAAATCCCCTCTCGCTGAGAACAGCGCTGCTGTCATTAGCATGTTGCTTGTTAGCTCGTCATTATTGTTGTTTACTGATAGCTGGACTGTAACAGATGGGGACAGCGGTAGAGAGACCCTGACCCGTGCAACACGCCAGCCAAAGGCGGTCTTATTCCAGCTGTTGATTAGCTGTAGCTGGCTTTCTTTCCCTGCTTCCTCTGAGCTACAGTAGCAATCTTTTTTTTCTTCAAACGGGTGCCGCTGACCCTGGGTTTCACCGTCCATCATTGGCTGGAAAAAAACGAGGAATAGAAAAAAAAAAGGGTATTGAGGTATTTCTCAGGGAATAAACGACTTCCTCTGTGTTGTGGATGCGGTTATGAGAGGTAGACTCATTTCATAGACCGGGGGCTGTACAACTGAATGTGCCAGTGGCCCTGAGAGAAGAATATCAAGGAGAGGAGGAGGGGAGTTGGTGAAAGGTGAGAGGTAAAGACTTTCAGTTCCTCCATCAGGGCAACGCAGAAAGGAAGGAATATCTCAAGGTTAGACCGCCAATAGAAGTTTTCTAAGAAGTGTGTGAGCTGGAAGATAAAAACACTTGCGTCAAAAGTTGCCTTTTGAGACTCTGAGGGACGCTGTTATACTGCGTTCTCATTCCTTCCTCCTCCTAATTCTCTATTTCTATGACTTAAATACACGCCAGTCAAGGCGGTTTGCGAGCGAGCCGCACATTCATCAAGTCCTTGAGGAAAGGAGAGGTTTTTTCAAGCGGTTGTCACCGTCACTCCATCCACCACCGTTCATAGGTGGTGTGTTTGTCCAAAGCAGACGTGGGGGGACACCGGTTGGATTTATCTGATCTTACAAGCCATCAGGTTGAGCAGAGCGTCGCTAAACATGACCTGAAGTGTGCCGGCCCCGGAGCAAACGCCGCTGTCATCTTGGCCAACCCGAGCTGTCATCTCTCAGAGCAGCCCACGAGAGCTGACAGCTGTGGCGTTCCCAAAACAAATCACTGCTGCATTTGGTAACACTCTGCGTCCCCGCGATTTAGCCCTCACCAAGACGAGAGCGGGAGCGGCGGCTGCTAATGCTCTGGCTAATGCACTGCCTGTGTGTGTGTTCATCTTCATCCTCTGTGTGTGTGTTTGTGTTTGCAAGGGCTTATGCAGTTTCACCTTGTTTCTCTGCAACTTAGAGCGATGTTCATATCTCCCTTTGTCTCCTCTGCTCTCCTGCCTCCGTGGCCTTCACCTGCATGCCTTCTGTTGTGTGTTGAGCTCACAGCGCCTCTTGTATGTCATCTAACATGGACACTGTGAAGAAAAAGACAAAAAACACAGGCTATTATAAAACCATCACACATATTACATCAATATTTCTGAGCCAAAAAGCCTGAAGAATCTTTGAGGGCTAATAGATGTGTGAAAATTGTGAACCTTGAGCTTTTCTGTTATTGTTGTAAAAGTGTCAATAAATGATGCCGGTTTCACCATCTTGTTTATTGGGCTTTTGCCATCTTGGTTTATAATGGCGAAGTAAAGGATTGACCCAAATGCAGGGAGACACGGGGAAACAGAGGGTTGAATATAGGGGGTTTTAATAGTAAAGAAAAATGTTCAACACAACAATTGCGGAACTGGGGAGTCAAGAAATGAGTAACGAAATTGTCCAATAAAACAAAACTTCTAAAACAGGGAACATGGTAGGGAAGAGCAGAGATGAATCAGGGAACATACCAGGATTGATTAGCAGAACAAGTAACACCACGGACCAGGATACACCACAGACGAACCGACAATGAGACAAGAGACACTCAGGGTTTAAATACACTGGGAAGGTGCAGGTGATGAGACACAGCAGGGTTCAATTAAGGGCGGGGAAGACAATCACAAAGGTGGGAAGTAGACAAGGACAGGAAGTGAAGTGAACACTGGACACAAGAGGCAGGGAAAGTAAAAATAAACGGAGAAACAACTAAACAAAAACCATCTTGGTTTTTCGCCATCGAGCCATCTTAGTATTTGACTATCGCCATCTCTGTTTTTGGCCATTGCCATCTTGGTTTGTGGAAGTCTCCTTCTTAGTTTATTGCAACCAGAAGTGACACGAGAGGGTGGAGCTTAGTACAACTGAACGCTAACATTTTTAGGGGACCAAAACTGAAATTACACTGTGAAAGGATTTAAGTTGTAAGACGAAAAACACAGACAACTCCCAAAGAGTTCAACGCCGTGGCAGCAGCCTGTCAATCACAAGTCAAGTGAGAATTATGGTAATTTTCTAATTGACTTCTATACAACTAGGCCTCTTTTTGCAACCGGAGGAGTCGCCCCCAGATGGTCAGTAGAGAGAATGCGGGTTGAAGTCACTTCAGCATCGGCTTGACTTTTCAGAACAGTAGTTATCGCCTGATGAATACTGATGAGTTGGATCTTCATTCACTGACAGTTGAGCAGCTTCACAAATTGCCATTAAGGATATTTTCTCTGTAGTTTTCAGGAAAAAAAAACATGTTCACAACCCAGACTGAACTGTGCAAGATCAAAAACGCAGAGGTGAAGGTTCAAAAGTGACTTTTTCGTCTTAACTAGACAACTGATTGAATGTTCACAGTCGTAGGAGAGATGAAGAAAAAGAAAAGGAACTGAGGCTGTTTATTGATACATTTTTAATGGTAAAGTGGTTTGTGCTAAATGAGGTGTTTTTCTCCCTCTCAACTGTTTTGTGAAAGTGTCATGCTTTTCAACTGACATTTTTAATGAGCTTACACACTCTCTCTCTCTCTCTCTCTCTCTCTTGTATAAACACACACACACACACACACACACACACACACACACACGCACAAATGAACCTGTCAGACACGGTTTGAACACAGAGATTTTTGACTATTTGTTACTGGGCTGTTTTTAGACATCAAACTACAGCAGTTGAGATGTGGTTTCTATTGATGTCATTGTTTTTATGTCACAGTCATTATTGAGATACCCTGGCTCGTCTTTAAAGGAGCGGTGCGGCTAAATTTGCTCATTCCCCCCCCCCCCCCCCGCTCCCCTTACGTGAAAATGAAACCGACGTTTTAAGCTACATCCATCAACCGCATACAGTGTGTGGACTTAGAAGAGAAATGCCTGGATGTGTTGCAAAGACAAAAATGTTTTTCAGACTTCGTTGCTCCTTTACTGTATCAAATTCCCGTACTTTACGTTTAACGGTACAATACCTTTTGATATTTATTCGTTGTCTTCTTTTGTCTCCCAGCAGACGTTTGGAGGAGAGGCTTTTGTTCAGCTACACAGATGAACAACAGGAAGGAGGACATGGAGATCTCCTCTCACTACCGCCAGCTCCTCAGAGAGCTCAACGAGCAGAGGCAGCACGGCATCCTCTGCGACGCCTGTGTCATCGTGGACGGAAAGATCTTCAAGGCCCATAAGAATGTCCTCCTGGGCTCCTCGCGCTACTTCAAGACTCTTTACTGCCAGGTAAGGGACTGCTACAGTCCCCTTGGGGGGGTGGATGAGTCAAGGGAGTGTGTTGTTCTTCTCTCACATCGTAGTAGTTTTGCTGCACGAGACGTTTGAACAAGAGCTGCTGTGAATAATCTCTCTCACCCTTCAGGTTAAAAAAGGGGCAGAGCCTTACCACCAGACCACCGTCACTCACCTGGACATCGTCACAGCGACGGGCTTCAAAGCCATACTGGACTTCATGTACTCGGCGCACCTCGCCCTCACCAGCAAGAATGTGATCGAGGTCATGTCGGCCGCCAGCTACCTGCAGATGACGGACATCGTCCAGGCCTGCCACAGCTTCATCAAGGCGGCGCTGGACATCAGCATCCGCTCCGAGATGGCCGACGAGCTGGCCGACTTTGAGATGGGAGCGGTCGGTGCCGCGGGCATAAGCGGAGGTGGTGGAGGTGGAGGGGGTATGGCAGGAGCAGGGGGCGGAGCAGGTTTAGGAGGAGGAGCTGGAGGAGGAGGAGGAGGAGGAGGAGGAGGAGGAGGAGGAGGAGGAGGTGGGATCGTGGGCATGGCTTCTGAAGCCCTGGCCTCCATCATGTCTGGTCGCAGCACCTCGCCTTGGCTGGCACGCCGCACCAGCCCGGCCAACTCTTCTGGGGACTCAGCCATCGCCAGCTGCCACGAGGGAGGCAGCACGTACGGCAAGGAGGACCAAGAACCCCCCAAGAGCCACGAGAGCCAAGAGGAAGCCTGCCACGACTCCCAGCCCGCCTGGCCACACGACTACAGGCCCGTCACCGTCAAAGAGGAGCAGGTGTCCCCCGCCTCCTCCTCACATCCACGGGACACTCCCAGAGGGGCGGCCCAGAGCCAGGGGGAGCAAGGTGCTGGAGGTGCCGCTGGAGGAGGCGGAGAAGGGCCCTGGCAACCGCTGTCGGGGTCGGGGCGGAGGAAGAACAGGAAGAACAAGGACACCGTCAGGCATATTACCCAGCAGTCTGAGAGGAACTGGGACAGGGAGCGGGACAGGGAGAGAGACCGGGACAGTAGGCCTGGATCTCCTCTGCCCTCCATGCTGGCTGTGGCTGGATGGAACTACAACGGGCAGGAAATCCCAGGTAAGGCCGACAAAAACCTGCTTCTAAGCGTCTCCTGTCTTTGGAAAGTGCTGCTGCATATTTTATGTGAGACGGACGAAACAGACGGTGAAAAGAGAGCAGAGCTTTTTCATGTCCAACTACTGTTTTTAAAGTGGATTTGTTAGTTAGATTATTAGTTTAGTGTCACAAAAACAGGTGGAATCATCTTTGACTGGCTTTTAAAATAGGAGGGATGGACGCAGGCCAAAAGAAAGCACTTCTTTCTCAGACAAGACTTTGTAGTTCTGATTTGATGACTTTGAGGCTTAAGAGTTTCCCAGAGTTGCTGCAGTTTCGGACGCCTACTTAGTTATCCAGTCTCGTAATTAGTGAATGACTGGTGAGATAATAAGGTTAGAATAGATAATTAAGTGAGAGTGTTGTCTCACTACTCAACTAGGATCTAATTTATCTGGGCTTCTCTTTTAAAAGACGCCGTCTACCCGGCAGGGCAGCAGTCCTGATCAAACTGCCGTGTTGACTTTAGTTGAACTCCAGTTCAACAGCGTGTGTGCGACACTTTACAGTACACATGCACTTAATGCTTTGATTCCTGCGCGGATTGTCTCAACGCATCTCAGCCATGCACACAAGCGTCCCTGGAAAAAAAATGACCTCTTTTGATCCTCCGGGTTTGAGATTAGCGAGCTTCCACACTAACGTGTTAGGCCTAAGGTGATTATCTCAAATCTTGAGAGGTTTGAGGGGAAGCCTGGGTAAATGCCGATGGATAATACGATCCTGTTCTTACTGCAGTTTATGTAACACACACTCCCACATAAACAAGCAAACGTTAGCACAAACACGCACGTTTATTTTTGAGAAAAGTGTCTCTTGATCCTCAGCCTTGCAGAATTGTTTTGTGAACTCCATTACACTAAAAACTAATACATGAAAAACACTTTGCTGTGTGTGAGTGTTGAGTGTCTGTCTGTGTGTGTGTGTGTGTGTGTGTGTGTGTGTGTGTGTGTGTGTGCACCGGGGGGCCCAAGGCGTCGATAGGTAGATCATTAAAAGTAAGAGAAGCTAATCCTGGGCGCATTAAGGGAGTTGGCTGTGAAATGGGCACACGTGTCGCACAGCGAAAGAAAACAGGATAATTGAATTGACCTGGGTCACTGCACGGATTACCAGCGCGTCCTCGCCATCCCTGGCTCCTCCCCCTCCTCCCCCCTTCCTCTCTCTCACTCTCTCTCTGGGGTTTAGGGAAGAACCTTCTGGAAAGGGCAAGACGAGGGAAAAGGGAGAGAGAGATAGGTGGGGGGGCATCCGTACAGTCTTACGAGGATTTGTCTAAGTGTCCTTAGTCCCAGATTTTGTGATCTGCGCTCAGACATTATTACGGTCACCAGGTACATCTTGTCTTGAGCTTCAGAGCAAAACACACACACACACACACGCACACAAACTAAATGGCACTATTTAGCCCGTTGGCCGGTTTGTTGGTTCTGTGGTAGAAGGTAGAGTTTTAGTCCGGCTGTGGTGAAGCAGCCATTCCGGAGAGAGAGAGGTGTTTTTCTCACCTAAAGGTTAGAGGAAGTCTAGTGTTGCCACTGGTGTAGACTCACCTGGTGTTAGCCAAAAAAACAACCAGTCATTTCTTTAACCTGGGTTTCGGGACCGGGCTCACAATGGAGGAGAGTCTTTTGTATCGTGAGGTTTATCAACCATTCGGGGTCTCCTTCAGTAGGGCAGATCTTGCCATTTAGCAGTGAAATATCATGTTACTAGTGGGCTTTGGAGTGGTAGTGGATGACAGTCAGGGTAGTTTTCAATGGTGTGTGTCGAGTCAGTTTGCAGGAGGCGGTTTCTGTGTGTTTAGCGAAAGGTCTGGGGAATTGCTGAACAGGTTTTGTGAGGCCATTGTTGGATCGGCGTTGGTGGTGCGATGTGTTTTGGTTTGTGGGAGTGCTTCTTCTCTCGATGTGATGCCTTCAGGTTGTTGTTTTTCTTTTGACCCTGTCAGGGTGAAAAAAACACACAGGATTCCTGCAGGCTTATGAGAGTTTGTCTACTTAAGTCTTAAGTCTCCTTAAGTCCGGATTTTGTCACCTACAGGAGGAGATCCGAATCAGACGTACGAGCATATGGGAGAGCCAAGGATTTAGAAAGTGGTGTACAGTTCTATTTAAAGTTTCTAACTACAACAATGACAGCATTGCAAGGGGGGAAGGTAGACAGCAAAGAGCTGTCAGGTAGTCTGGATGACACAGTTTGCCTGAAGACTTCCGTCTGACACTAGAAACACTGGTTAACATGTAAAATAATATCAACTTGATGACGAATAAAGACAGGTACAAAACACGACATTATCACTGTGATTGATGGATTATTCCTCCAAATACTACTCTGTATCGTTTTAACGACATAAACCACACATTCATTCATTCATCCATTACTTCTGCAGGTGTGTGTGGGACAAGTTCATCCAAGCAAACAAAAAGAAACGAATAAGAAAACCAAAGTGTGGGTTACATAAAGCCTTGAGTTTGCTTTCTAGGTTTTTTGGCCGTCGTCATCTTGGTTTTATTTTTCAAACCAGAAGCGACGCAACATGACAAGACCAAGATAGGCCACCAAAGATATTACAATTAACTTTCATGAAGTAAAAACACGCTGTAGAGGGTTAAAGTTGTAAAACACCCAGACCGGACAACACCGTCAATCACCGTGTAGCCCCGCCCTAAAGCATCCCCTGCTTTATG